TGGCCTTCTGCTTGCCTGTGCTAATTATTTTGAAAGTGCAGACTTATACAAGTTGAGTGTCGAAATCGAGAGTTTACCTACTTGACACAGCTGTCACCATCAATAGATTACATTAGAAAACAGTCCTAAGAAAATACGCGCACTGAGTGGTTAAAAATCGTGTTTCTATAACTTGATGGAAACACAGAACTAGCACAAGCTGTTGACGTAATGATGGCGCAAGCAAAGATAACTTACATTTTGATGATCAAAGTAAACAAGCTGTTTTTCTTTTTTTCTTCGCATTGTTTTCTAAAAGAAATAGAAAACATGTTTACCATGTTTCTATTGAGTTTTAGTATAAATCTACTAGCGTTCTATCACAAATGCCATTCTCTGATTGGCTGCGCCACTCGTTTTCTATTCTGTGATAGATAGTGAGTAGCGTAGCAGTGTGCGGTTGTTACCAAAATGATGGCCGCTTCTTTGCATTTTTGAAGTGTTTGAAGAGGATCTGGATAAAGTTTTGAACAACTAGTAGAGTTATACTAAAACAATTAGATTATTCGCTCTCGATTTGTATGCGTGATAGTTGACTCGGGCTGCACCCTTGTCAACTATCATGCAATAGAAATCTTGAGCTCATAATCTAATTGTTTAATAGAAACATTTGTGAAAGTTTGGGAGAACTCGAAAAAGCTGTGGAAACACTCGCCAGCGGCTCGTGTTCCCACAGCATTTCTCATTCTCCCAAACTTCCACTCGTGTTTCTATAACTCAATAGAAACACGGTAAATGTTTTCTATTTCTTAAATTATTGTATTGCTCAGAATAGATAAAGTTCACCAAAGTATAAGAGCACAGGACCTAACTGTAGGGTTAAAAACTCAGCTGAAGTGCAAACCTGAATTATATACCTAAAATCTGAGTCAGTTTCAATTTTTGAACAAAACTGTCATGGATACTCCCTTTGATTTTGCTACCATTTTTCTTCATTCAGTTGCTTTTGTTGTACATGTTACAAGCCTTTTCAATTCAAAAAACTATATCAAAGTCTATGCAGCTGAATTAAATCCAACATTCTGTGGCTTTTCAATGTTTTAGGGATGCTATTACCCATTACTTATTGTATTTTCCACAGTGAATATCTCACCAAAGTTGTGTTTTTAAGCCATTTTTTTAGAGAACTGTAGTTTACTGCCAAAACTCTGTAAGCTAAACAATTTCCGCTCTCACTTTCATTATAAATGTAAGGTCAAAGACAGGTATAATAAGCACTTAATGACTGGTCACAAGGGAAACATGGAGTTTTGTCTCCTTGAGACCCTCAGTGTTCCCCTAAGCTTC